ATTTTCAAGGAGAGAAATAGGTTTTTCCTGGGAACAGAATGTTTGTTTCTATTTATTTTTCCCACTCAATCTTTGTATATTTTCTTTGCCTGCCTTATTCAAAGTTGTTTCTTAATAACCGTGGGATATTCATGGTTATTTTTTGCTGTGCAGCAAGTGTTGCTGCTGCTGCTGTGTCTGTTGCTGGTGTTGCTCGTTGCTCGTTGGTGCCTCCAATGCGGACAGTTGGACGACAAATTGTCTGACTGCCGCCTGCTGCTGCTGTTGCTGCTGCTTGTGGGTCTGTTTTTTACGAGCTGTTTTGTAAGCTCTCTTGTATCGCCATCGCACGTAGGAGTCCCAGTCCCAGTCGCAGTCCCAGTCCCAGTCCGGATCCCAGTCCCCCTTCGTGTGGATGTTGGCTGCTGCCTGTTGCTGCCGCTGTCACGGTTGGTGGTACTCTGTGCCACTGAGGTAGCATTCGCCAGCCGACTTGGCGCCGACATCTTGGCATTTACGATTATGTCTGCCGGGCTGCAGTGCAACTTCTGTACCGTCTTTTGGCCTTTTTTGAGCGATGGCCAGGCCAAGCGGCGGAGGTGTGGCCAAAGTCAAAGTCAAAGTCTTAAAGTGTCTTAAAGCCTTCGGTAAGAGGGGAACAAGTCGTTGAGCGGCTTTTCAGCAGGCGCCGCCTAATTAGACGCTAAGTGAAGTGAAGTGGCTCTGGTGTCGGCTCCCCTGGCAGTTGAAGTTGCAACTTGGAGCCATGCCGACCCCCTCTTGCGTGCCACAACCATGTCCAAACATTGTGACAGGCTGATTGCATCGCCGGCTTGCTGCCGCTGCCTTGCTGCCATGTGTTGACTAATTGCCACTGGCTATGGTCGTTGTACCGAGTGTACCCTGGTGGCCAGAGGATGGCCCCATTCCCAGCGAAACCAGAGTCGTGGGTGGTTCATTCATTGGCAACGACGGGGTTGTGTTTTTTGCAACAAAAAATGCAGCTGCTATGTGTCAAGACACCAGGCAACAGGGTTAAGGAAGGATTTAAAGTAATGAATTATTAAAATTGGAATAATCTGATGATTATTATGTATTTAAAGTTAAAAGTCTTAAAAATATAGAATGTTTTTCCTTTGAAAAGAAAAAGTTTGTATTAAATGATGCCAAAAAAGCACTATAATTTTTATAAATATAAAAACTGTTGCTTATAATACATAAATCTATGTGTAAAATATATTTTTAAAATTTTTGTAAGCTTGAAATATATTTTAGGTAAATATTTTCAAAGGTTTAGTAAATTTTGTAATTCCTAAAAATTATTAAATAATTTATAAAGTATTCATATTTATAACTATAAACTAAAATACCCGAAAAACAAGACTATATCCCTTACATATTTATATATTTCGATCTATAATCCCCACACCTTCTGTCTGTCAAAGAGAAAACCCTTATCCTGCAGCCTAGTGTTGGCTTTTGGATGACAAACTTCAGCCGCATTCTGTATAAATCCAATCTACTGTATGCAGATTTGCAGTCAAAAGAGGAGGAAAATAAAAAAAAAAAAATTAAGGAAACGAACTTATGGAAGCCGAAATTTGTATACCTTCCAGTTTGTCTTAGGATCGTAGCATCGAATCAAAAATAGATCATAACTCTGTCAAAAAAGCACCAAATTTAGTTTGGAAAGTTTTGATATGATGGTTGTTGATGCTAATCAAGAATATATATGTTTTATGTGGTCGAAAATGACTCCTTCACTGCGTTGCAAACTTCTAACAAAAATTTTAATACCCTGCAAGGGCATAAAAAACAAGAAAAAAAGAGGAGAGGCAGGAGCAGGGAAAGTGCAACAAGTTGTTGTCGCTGTCATTGCCTTTTGGCCAAAGGACAGGGCCGCCGCCGACCCGGACTACAGAGTCCCTGGCCTGACATAGACTGGCGGACACGGGTCTGTGGCCGACTGTGGCCTGGAGCTGTGACTGCAACTGCGACTAGGCGAGGCGAGGTCATCAAAGCCAAAAACCCGACTCAACACAACGCGACCCAATCCGACCCGGCCAGAACTGAACAGCACTGAAACGGAGCTGAACAATGGCCAACTGGCTGGATGGCAGGCTGGCTGGCTGGCTGCTCTGGCCCAAAAAATGTTGGTAACTGCATGCAAACATGAACATGAAGGCCAACAGGTGCACAGGAAACAATAAGGGATAAGTCAATTTAGGGGGAAAATATATAACTTAATAATAAATATTTTTTTACAAATATTTTTAGATTACAAATAACTCCACTTGAAAAATATTCCTCGTTAAATTTTAGAGGTTCTGTAATGTTCATTTTATAAACCTTTTATCATACATTTTTTAAACGATATTATCAGTTATGTATACCAAATTATTTCCAGTGCATGGGATGCGATTGCCCATGGCCGCAATGCAGGCGTCAAAGTGTGCCGCCAGGGGAGTTTTTCAGCGAGAAAAGCGCGGATGGGGCCGAGGCTCGTAGGGAATTGGCGTGGAGAGTCATGCAGTTCAGAGTGGATGCCATGGATATGCCCCTGACCGTGGCAAGCTCGTCCTTGGCAAATCCCGTGCCGCAATGCCAATGGATTTTCCTTTTACCCAGCTACGCTGTTAATTTCTCTCCTCTTCCTTCTTTTTTTATTTTTAGTTCCTGGCACTGCACCGCGACCTGAATTTTCCGCCCAAAAACAACAACAGCAACAAAAAATAGAGCAGTAGCCGTGTTTCTGTTGCCGTGTCCCGGGTTCTGTGTCCTCCGTGTCACTGGGCCACCAAATACCATCGAAAAAAAAAGAGAAAGAACCAACTTCAGTGCACTTCACTTTCCCCACTGAAGGGGAAAACTTTGCAAGTGTTGCAAGCACAGAGATTCTGGCGGAAAACTTGAAGGAAGGCTCCTGTGGAGCCCACCAACCCGAGGGGTTTTTCCTGCTTCATCGTCTTACCAGCCAGGAATCAGACACTCAGACACCCAGACAGCAACCTGTTGCGTGGCTGATTTTATGGCTAAAAGGAGCCACGCGTGATGCAGCTGGCTAAGAGGATGTGTCTTTTTATGGGTCGACAAGGAGTCCTCAAGTTCTATATGTGTGTGTGTGGCACAACAGGGAGTCACCCGCCTTCCCAGTGGTTGTGACAACATAATCAACGCCTCATTTGGCATGGCGAGTACCTCCTCAAGAGTCGCAGATGTTGCCACAAGTTTCGCTTGCCAAACAAATCGCTGGCAACGGATGAGAGAAGCCAGTGTGGGATGGCAGGCGTTCATGAAGTGACTTGAGTGATGAGCTAGATGGAGGAGCTAACACCAAAGGAAAGTGGAAAAGTGGAGTTTATTCCATTATTGAAGCAGAAGCTAACAGAGACTCATAAAGTGGGAGATTGCCTTGGCTTTTAGTCATAAATTAAATTTAATATGTAAATAGCTGGGTAATATTTTAATTTTCAGATAGAAAATCTCTTTAATAAGAAATATCTCCAAAAAATTCCACCAAATAATGACTAAGCATTCCTATCTCAACCTTCAGCTTCTAGAATTCCTGTTAAATCCCTGTCATATTTGTGGTTTTTGGGGAAGGTCTCTATAATAAAACCCTAGACCCTTTTGCCTATGTCATTCACTGTATTAAGTGGCATTCATTCACATTCACACAGAGTGTATTAGCTTGTGTCAAGTTTTTACGATGTCCCGACCTTGAAATCCCAATGACATCGAGCTGGGGATAGCTGGCGATGTGGAGACGTGGCCCTGACACGGAGCTGGGATGGCCTGCGTGCTGCTGAAAGGGAAATCCCCTCTGGCCGCATCCGCAAAAGGTCAAAGTCACTGGCAGCCGGTGGCAATTTCCCGGGTTTCCCTGGCTTTCCCAGACCCAAAACGCAAGACTCAAAAGGGCGGCGCGGAGACCGAGACCCAGTCTCTTGGCAACAATAAGTAGCTGCTTCTGCTGCTGCTGCTGGTCTCTGGCTCCTGGCTTTGACTCTGACTATGGGTCTGTCTCATGGCCTGGGTCTGGGTTCGCTTTGGCTCGGGTATCTGGCGCTGCTACGTGCGGCTTGTGGCTGCCACATCCTCTGGCATAACACAAGTGGCCTCGCCTGGCCTGGCCTTCCTTTGAGCAAGTCATCACGGCACCCGGCAGCAGGCAGCAGGCTGCCGGCACCAGTCACCAGTCACTGAGCAGGCACAACTTTGTCTGTTATTTTTCTCGTTTCTTTTTTTGCTGGCAGATTTTTATGGTGGTGACCCCCAGCTATGTATGTACGTGCGGTTGGTGGCCTGCGGCGGAGATTATGTCTGGATGTCTGGATGCCCTGGGTCTGGGGATGAGATTGGGACAGAGACTGGGTTTGGGTTGGCATCTCGGGGAAGCCGATGACGAACAATGCACAGGGAATAAATTTGAGAGGGAAAAGTAGGACTTTACCTGGGATAAATATTCATATATATTCATATATTCTTAAAATATATTTCTTTAAAAATTTATATAAACGGGAGAGCTTAAAAAATACCTTGAAATATATATCTGACTTTGTTTAATTTCATTTTAAATATTTTCCATAAAGTCTTAAGAAAATAAATCTCTATCCTTGAAATTCCACTCCTAATAAAATATTTAAATGTCCATTCAACCTAGTATTTCTCCCCAGTGTACCCCTGCCTTGGCAAAAACAAAGCAAGTGGCGACGGGCGTGATGACGTGGAAAATGTGGCTCTGGCATGTCGCGCGCACAAAAAAAAAGGGCAAGCCATGGGGTCCCGGTCCCTGTCGTTGGGGGTCTGGTCTTGGGGATCCGGAATACGGAATCTGGGGTTTGGGTTTCGCTTTCTGTAGCCGGGCTTGGGCTTGTGGGAAATCCCTCTCGGCCGCAGACAGACTGTCTGCGAGTGCCGTCGCGTGACTTAATTATTTCCCATGAATAAAATAAAATGCGGAGAGGGACGAGGACGAGAACGAGGCTGGCAATAAAGTCAAGTGGATGGTCGTCACTTACCCCAGTTGTTGGTGTCCCATTGCCGGCGGCGATACCTGTGGCGCTTCCCGCTCCATTGCCGGTGGCAGATGACTTTCCCTTGCCGCGGCCGCGCTTCGAGTCTGGGCGAACGGGCTGACCATCGGCTCCATAAACAATCTGAAAGGAAAAACCAGGAATTGAATACATTATATCAACTATTTTTAGTAAATGGCCTTAATTTAAGCTCTTGCCTTATTTATTTTTAAGCAAAAGAAACTGCGATCCTTGTTATTGTTTACGTTTTTAAACCGAATCGCATTAGAGAAAAAACCCCGAGCAAAAACACTTAGTTTATCTTTCACGAAATCTATCGACGCTTAACAATATATATCGACGCTTATCGATATATATATCGACGTGTATCGATAGGAACGGAAACGAACTGCTTTCTCCAACAAAGCCAAGACGCAAGCCACTAAAGTCAAACAGTCATCCGCTAGAGTACGCTGTATGTGTAGGTTCGTGTCCGCGCTGTAAAGCAGTGCGTACTCCAACTAGAATATGTTTCGAACTGCTTAGCCGAACTGCTTACGAACTGCTTACTTTTCACTGGGAAAAATATTTTTAATGTCCTTGGAAAACGTCAATTTTAAACCAAAATAATAATAATTTTTTATCTCTTGATCGCATAGCGCAAAAAGTATAAATGTTAAAATTTTCACAAAACTATGATTAATTTTATTTTACATTTACAAATCAAATAGATTTATAAAAGAAAGTTGTTTTTTAACCTTAAATTAACCTGTAATTAATATAAAAACAATTTAAGAATTACCCATTATTTTTTGAGGGAAAACCAAAAAAATTTTAAGACCCTTTATTAATAATAAAAGATGCTATACAAGTACAGATGCATTGCTAAAATATTCAAATCTGTATAAAAAAAATTCACATTCCAATGCTATCCCCAACCAAAAATTAGTTTTCTTCTCTTAAAATCACTGAACTGAGAAGAACTAAGACTAATGACATTTGTAGAGGTTAACTACAAGGAACCGGCTGCCATATTAAATTACTTTTCATCCATATGCTTCCCTGTCTATATAGATCGAACGAAATCCAAACCATAGATAATTCCAATAGGCATGAAAAAGGCTACCTCGAAAGTCGCTTCTTACTTATGTAAACCCAAAATCCCTAGTCTATTTCCGGCACAAAGTCATAAATATCATCAGAGCCGGAGTATGGAAGAGCCTGAGACTCGGTCTTGGGTCTCTCAGAAGAACCATTAATGCCAAGTGCTGGGAAAGTGAGTGAACGAACGGTAAAGTTGGAAAATTAAATGTGAAAATGTGGAAATTGAGGGTAGTTGCGTGTGTGTGCGCAGGCGTGCAGTGCCTGGCCCCAACAGTTTTCGCTAAAAATAGATCGAAAATGCTTGGGAAGAATGAGGCGAGGGAGGCAGAGAGACGACATATGGGCCCCAGTTCAAGATCGAGAAAACGCATCCAGACAGCTTCGCAGGAGTGCCTGTGGAATGCCCTTGTCTGCCTTGTGGCTGAGTCTTTTTGGCGGCTGATTGACAGCCGCGGCGACTTAACGGTAAATAAGCGACGCCATCACAGACACGGAGAGAAAATGAGGGTATTAAATGGGAGACTTAAAATACGCTTTAAATAATACTCGAAAATTATAAACAAAATATATAAATAAAATGTAGAAAATCTTAGGTATTTTTATATCTAAAAATATGGGTATTTCTGAAGAGTATCACCAGCCGACTAAATCTAGAAACTTTTTACTAGAATTTCTTTGAAAGTACAATATAAACAAAAAATCTCTCCATCTGTTCTCTTACTTTTTAATATATATCTTGAAAGTTGTTGTTGAAAGCTGTAGATGTTTAAGCCTTTTAAAATCTTGTTTTTCTTATTGCTTAATATTTTTCCCAGTGCCTGTACTTCTCCCCAAAAACCAAGCCATACCACACCATTTCCATTTCCATTCCCATTTCCATCTTCATCTCCATCGCCAGGCTGCATTTACATTGTTGGCACGCGCAGGCGCGCACACATGTTGCCAGAACGTCAACCTCTCTCTTGGGGGAGGATGGATGCAGATGGGGATGCGGATTGAGGATCCCAATCGGAATCGGGATCGGGGAACTGGTAACGAAATGCGTCTGCGTACAGGGCGTACTTTACAATTTTAGCATCCACCAGCAGCAGTTGTCATTTCGGAAGCAATTATTTTTAAAGGAGAGACCGAGTAGAAGTCACACAGTTGCAGTTGAGAGCGTGCCAGCCCCCCAATGATGAGGCAAAGGGACTGGGAAAAAAGATGGAGACAATGTCACTGGGGCCGGGGCCCTGGGATTACGAGATGGGGTTCTAAATTTAGTTGGGAGTCTTGAGAGCTCTTGAGGTGTTTTTTTGTTCTTCCCTTGAAACTGATACAAAGACAAGAGTGAAAAAGAGCATTGAGGTACAGTTGCGTTTGGAAGAGGCTTTGGTACAGTTGTGATTAGAAATGGAGGAAAAATGCACAAAAAAGGGGGTTTAAATGTGGAAAATACAGGAAAAGGAATAATTTTAGGAAAATTTTCGCAATGGCTGACTTTTAATATAATTTTATCAAGAATATTTACCTAAAGAAGCCGTAAAATCTGTGAAAACGGTTTTTGAGCAAACCAATTTTAAATTCTTTTAAAATTTACCCATCTTCATTATCACAATTAAGTTAATAACTCCAATTTATATTAACATAACCTACACTGTCTGCATATTAAGTCCACAAAACATCCTTCAAGGACCCCCTAGAAAAGCAACAGAAAGCCAGACAAACGACTTAAAGTTGCCCCCGACAAAACTCAAAGCAGAAGCCGCCGAAAAACAAGGCCAACGACCTATAAAAATGGGGCCAAAAGTAGGCAACCAAGAAAAAAACAACACAACAACAAAAAACCAAATAAAAACAGACAAGCAAAAACCCACAGACACATGCATAAAATCCGGCGATGAAAGCTTCCTTGGCAACAAAACATAAAAAATCGATGACAGTTTACGAGCCTCAAAAGAAACCTTCTTGAAATCAATTTTTTTGCTTTGTATTTTTTGTATTGTGACCAGCTTCCTGTGTTGAAAGGTTCCTCTGCAGCGCTGTTTTAATTCGATTCTACCATTAAGTGCAGTGGCAGGACTCCTGTTTTTCCACCGAACTGACTTTATTAGCGAGCTTTAACAATGCAAAACAGAAACAAAACAGAAGATAAAGCCAGACTAAAGCAAAATGTTGAAAGAGGCACAAAACGCATGTTGACTTAATTGGGGCTATTAGTTTTTTATTAAAAGGAAGCCCACAATGATGACTCTGGGGCAGGTGGCAGCTGCTGCGATGCCATAATGAGCCGATGCCGTCGGCTCTCTGCGTTTCTTGATTATTTATTTTGCGGGAGGGGATGCAGAGGAAGGCATCGGTTATTGGCAACAACGGGAGCCGAGTTCGAGTTCGGGAGCAACAGGTAGTGGGTAACCGCAGGCCACACGCACATTCAAAATGAGCCCAAAACGGAGGACTGACCTAGCCCAATTGGGTTTGTGGTAGGATCCGAAGTACTAGAAGCCAGCGGGGCATTTTCGCTTTTTATGACACAATTTTTGGGGGAGAAGCGAAGAAGAAGCAAAACAATAACAACAGGGAGCCACAGTAACAAGAGCAACCCCTCGGCACTTCCTCTACCCCTCCTAATGAGCCATAAAAAGTTCCCTTGCTACCTGTTGTCCCCTTGAGTGTGTGTGTGTTTTTGGGCGAGACTTTGGGCAACCCTTCGACGTCGTCAAGGCTGATGTATCAGCTGAGGCACCTACTTACATCGAACCCACAATGGGATTGCTCCACATTTGAGCTTACACTGAAGGGAAAATATGAGGACTAGGGTAAGGAAGTTGTCAGGGAATAAATGGGATTTTTAGTACGAAAACTTAAGGGTAGATAGAGTCCTTAAAAAAGGTTACAAATAAATTTAAATGCAGCCTGCCTCTTCCTATAATCCCCTTTATTTTCTGTATTTTTTCGCTTACTTTGATCCCATTTTTAGTAGGAAACCTTTAAGGTATTAAGAGTCCTTGAAATATTGTACAACCTTTTCCTAAAATCTTCTTCATTTTCAGCACTTTTCCTCTCAATTATTCAAAGCCATCTCAACCCCCCAAAAATTAAACTTTGTACCACTTAATGCCCTGGACGACAACAACCTTGACCTGTGCCAAAATAAAACCCTCCCTTCCCCCCTCGCTCTTAATTACAACCCTTTTGTGAGGCACACACTCTGAATTCGGTCCCAGGGAAAAGGCAAATCGATTTTCGTAGGCAAAACATTTCAAGGTTACACAGCAACAAACCCCTCCAAACCCAGCAGCCGAAAAATGTTTGCCACCTTAATCTCTGTTTATTTTGATTATCACTTTCGCTGGAGCAGGGGGGGGGGGACAAAGCTTCCGCTTCCGCTTCCTGATTAGCCCCGTCGGCGACCTTGAAGGTTGTCGAAAATACAGACTGGGGAAGTCGTCCTGTTGATGATTCACTGGGACCACGAGGGGGAGCCACATGGCCGCTTTGCTTTTTATGGCTTATATCCCATTTTGATTGCGGCTGTCAGACTTTTCTCCCGTCTCTTCCACATTCCTTCTTTTTTTTGGGGGTTGACTTTCTTGGCAATATGTATATGCGTATATGAGGGTGGGTTTTCGTTTCATTTGGCATTGTAATTGCAGCCACCCCTATGCCACACACATATAAATCAGTGTGTATATAAATAAAGAGGGTATATATGTACCTACACTTTCTCCGGGCAAAGAGATGCGTCATCCAACGATTTGTTACACGTAATTTAGATGCGAAATTTTCAATGTCAATCGTGAGAGAGAGAGGGGAAGACTTGGTGTGCGCCCCCTTGAGATGTAACCGTTTTGATATGTGCTAAAAAGCTCACTTCACAATTTCCACCAAGGTCAAGTTCAACGGGGGGAGCAGAGCGAAGAGAGCTCTTTATTGTTTGCATTGAGGTAGCGGAAAAGCGGAAAAGGCAGCCCACGAAATGAGTGATAAAAAAAAGGGGTAAAGCACAAACAAAGCGCAATTTGTGTTGCCTTGTGACACAATTCGAGGGTTTCAATGGG